AGTACCACGCCAGGAAGTGTCCAGGTGTGCCGTGCAAGACAGGTTCCACCTCAAGGCTGTTGCAGCAGCCACTGGAACATGTGGGCCCTGGACTCTGGTGTGAGATGTGTTTTGACATTTACAAATGGATAGGGGAGTCAGAAGTCAGCATTTCTTGACTCACTTTATTGTGAGGAGGGACAGTCATTCTTTATTTTCAACCTTGAGTTAATCTGGAACAAATTTATCACCTTTTAGCTATTGGAGGAAGGATTTCCTGTTTTGTTCTGTTCCTTTCCTCAATATCTCTGACTGATACTGGTGTATCGTGTCTATTTTGTCTTCTGAAAGTGAAAGACACAGAAGAAACCCCAGGTACTGTATTTTTTTGTTGAGCTGATATACAGCCCTTCAGCCACAGATAGTTACAGCGCTCATCAAAACTGCAGGTTGTTCGCTTTCCCCAAGGAAGCAACGGTACAGAATTAAGGCAACACTTGACAGTTTTGCTGCTACCTATAGGGTTTTGTATAACAGGAATGTAATTAATCAGCATTTTTGATTCTCAAATCCAAGGCATAATATTATCTTCACTAGGAGGAAAGGTTTTGTTAATAATGGATAAAATCGTAGTGTAGAGATTTGGTTTGTAGTTTTAGCATGTGTTAACTTGTCTAAACAGTGAGAATGTAAAATCATGCCTACTTGTGAAAGCCATGTGTCTCATCAGAGCGAAGTTTGTAATCACCAGTACAAAAATAAGACTAAAGCTTTCTGTCTCACCTTTTGACACTAATAGTATTATCTTTTTTCTTCTCAGTTTAAATATAATTCTGTCTAGTTGCATCTGTAGTTTTCTTCAGAAATGCTACCTGCAATTTTTTCAGTCTATAGGTAGTAGCTCCTGTGTATGATGGTATATCCAAGAGCAGTAATTGCCTGAACTGCAAATAGGCATTTAAGATTGCTAAAACAGGAATATCTTGCTCTGCTTTGCAATGCTGCCTAGAGGATGAGCTGTGGCCAGTTCTTCAAAAGTGTTCAGAGCCTCCTAGTAAAAACCAGGAAAGTCTGAAAAGCATTCGGCACTGGCACAGGTTGGTGGAGGTGTGTAAAGTGCTTTGAAGAGCCGTGGAAGAAGTCTCCAAAGGGCTTTTTCAAACCTATTGATACCCAGTAAAATTTGGATCCAAACTCCTGTTAGACTCCTCCCATGATCCATGTGTTATATGCTCTGTATTTCTACGTGCAGTTGTGAGGACAGGTTTAGTTTTTTAGATAGCTGAGATGAGATTGAAACAGACCTATTTTCAAAGGGCTTACCAGAGAAAATGTGATTGATTGAGGTGGATTTTTCACACATCAGTGACCAACCTAGGGCCTTCCCTAGTTTTGATCTATGCCTGTCTCTTAAATTCTAATAAATCTTGATGCATGTGGTTTTTACAAAATGTTTGTATTATCCTAGGTTAGGTTTGAGTAGAACCATGTGTGGTGGTCCGTGTTACAAGGATGCTTCTTCTACCCTCATCTCATCCCAGAATGCTGTGGAGGATAGGGGGTGGACTGTGGATTTCTGCTGGGTTTCATCTGTTTCCTCTACAGTGACTGAGTTCTTGTTGGTCTATTGTGTATATGTTGTAATGCTACAAAGTGGGGAGCGTAATAAAAGTGTAATTGGCTTTGTCTGTATTTCTAGACACTAGCAAGGAAATAGTTGATGACGAATCTCAGCAATTCAGTACATGGGACTTCAGGCAGTGGCGTTTCGCTCCGACTTCATACCCCAGAGGTGCCTCTGGCCTTTTTGTGGGATGATTCTTATACCTATTACTGCAAAATGCTTACTTGTGGCTCTGAAAGTAAATGCATTAAGCTCTTAAGGTTGCTAAATTTTTTTATCTTGCCTGGATATTCATTACGGGTGTTCAGGAGTCTTTCAAAGTTGATGTTCTTTTTTGGTTTGCAAATAAATTATTTCAGGCAGATAGTCACCACTTATGCACATGAGCTTTGCTGTAGCATGTCATCCTGTTGTGTAAAAAAAAAAAACCTCTTAAAACTGCAGTAGAAATAGAACAAAACAGCAAGTTGAAACATGAAGTGAAACAGGCTAACTAGCATCCTTTGATATGTTTTTCCTTATGTTTTACAAAGGGGAAAGCTTTTTGAATACTACTTCTTTAAACTTTTGTTATAGCTTCTTCACCTGCTATAGGGGGTGAATGAAAGCCAGAAAGTCAAAACTGAATGGGGAAAGTAGAAAGGCAAAAGGCTGCAACAGAAGTAACTCGGAATTGTCACACCATAGACTGAACCTGCCTATTACAAAAGATTTTTGAGTCATTATGCAGAGAGGAAGTGTTAATCATGGCAGTGATAAAACTGAAAATGGGGATAAAGTGCATAGTTAGAAAAGAGACGTTGTCTGCAGAAAATCCAGCCTGTCAGCTGGTGTCTTGTTCCGTCTTACACTCTCTAGCCTACCCCCCAAGATCCCTCCATTTGTGTTTAACTTGGCATGTGATGAGTCTTTGGCCCAGGCCTGAAACAACTTGGGTTTAAAAAAAGCTGGAAACTTCTTGGTATTAGATCTGCTCATTGTCTAGACCTGGATTAGAGGACTGGACAATGAAGACTCTTAAGCTCTGGAGATACAGAAAAAAAATGGAAGACAAGCAGCTGGCAACAATTAATTTTATTCTGTATTGGCATTCTGGTGTGGTGGTTTGTGTTTGTTTTTTGTTTTTTGGTTTTTTTTTTCCTCATCTTCATTAGGCTCCAGAATATTGTTGTCTTCATGATGGTGGAAAAGGAGCTGCTAACTTTTCAAATGAAAGCCAAAGAGTATTCTCAGGGCAAGGCTGTAGTGCAGGGAGTGGATGAAGTGTTTGTGATGTTGGATCTATGACTCTAGCAATGTGTTGTCATGTTTCCTTTCCCGGGTGGTTATCTTGCCTGGGCTTGACTGTTCTGTGGTAGGTAAAGGTATCCATTGTAGTTGAAGGCATCATATTGGGGTTGCCTCTTCACTTCAGCTGGTTAAAGGTCCTGTCCCATTAACCCCTCCCATGGCTCTTAGACATACTGGTTCTGCCAGCAGGTGGCCCTACAGGGCATTGCCTGCAAATGTGTGTGGGCCACTGCACTGTATAAAGAGTTCAAGTTCTACAGAAATGGTTTAAGATTTAATGGCTTAAGACCACCTTTTCCTGTCCGACTAGCACTGCTGATCAGAAAAGGCTGGAGAAGATAACCTCAGCTGCAGAGATAACCACATCTTTACCTGCTGCAGCTACTTGTCATGGAAATCCCTGTAGCCTGAACTGTTACAGGGTTGTGTTTGAACTGTCACCCTTTCTTTGGCTGAAATGAAGCTAAATGTTTCTATTTTTTCCTAAATAAAAGCAAGGCAGAGGTGGAATTAAGATTAATTTTAAAACCCTATTTTGCCCATACTGCCTTCTGCTATAAGAGCTATAGAGCATATTGTGTTTTGAGGCATATTAATTCAAGTAATATGAATCACTGGCCAGCTGCCTCATGAGATGTTTGAAGTTTGAGTCAAATTTTGAATGCATTCTTTTCATTAGATAGTCATGTATGTGGAAATGTGCCTCATGTCAGAATGATTTGTCCTCAATTTATGTGGTCTTGTATTAGTTTGATAGACTTTTCCTTTATCCAGAAATTTGATTAAGCAGAGTCCCGAACTCCACAATACTATAATTCGCCAGCCCAAAGAGTGGTGGCCATTAATTTGCTGCTAGCAGACATTATAGACTTAGATTTAAATTGGAATTGTGTTTAACTGTATTATAACCCTTTTTAACCTTGTGGAATCTTAAACTTTTCCTTTTGGGTATAATCAATAAAGCAAATTTTTTGTTATGTGAAATTTGAAATTAGAAACATTTCTTTTAAATGTAATAGTTGGCCTCTTGAGTGATTTAAATACTGAACTACTGTTCAAGAAACACTATCATTAGTTTATTTCAACCTTTAGGATGATCTAGTTGCACTAGCCTGAAATTGTCACAGAGATTGTAAATCTGTGGATGATAGTAAAACCTTTGATTAGTGGTATTAGTGAATAGTTCTTAATACAAATGTTTGTATTGATGCTTACTGTGTGCCAGAACTATGAAAGCTAATTCCAAGCTGTCTAGTCTTGGGGTGTGTGTGGGGGACAGGGAAGTCCTTTGCTCAATAGCCTTTAAAGAACAAACAAGTAAAGTTTTACTGTGCCTCTAAATGCTGGTTTCACAGGTTCGAGGAAAGGTTGCTTTGGCTTGCTGCATTTACTTGTTATGAATATTATCAAGTAGTGTATGCATTGAAATAGGGTTTCATCAGCTTTGTGTAACGGGATAAGAGTAGGTTTAGCATAGATAGTAGACAAAGTGTTGCTTTTATATAGCAATATTAATACAGAAGCCCAGCTAATGGAATACAAGACCATACTACTTCAACTGTGGTAGGTAGAAAAGTGACCAGAATGCCTTCTATCTGTCCCTCATTGGCTATTAAAAGTATGCCTTCTGTGTGCAAAAGCATTTAATTCTTTAGCCCTAATGTTTTCATTATTTGTGAGACAATTTCCTTTTCTTTTGAAAAGTCTGACTGACTGTTTTCTCCCTTCTCCAGGTGCTGGAGTTCTTTGTGGCACTGAACTTGTCCTTGAGTGTATTTTTCCCAATGCAACTCTTTGAAATGTTTGTACAAAAAAACTAAGTGCAACTGACTGTTTCTACAGACTTGAAAAATCCGAAGAAGTAGTTCAAAAAAACCTCATGCCATCACCGAGAGAACCGATGGATACGCTTGCAGTGATGTGTGAACACAGATAAAAATGAAAAACAAATAATTTTTTGCTGTGGAAAGCAGAAATCTTTTAGCTTAGCAGACTTGTAAGCACATGTTGGAGAACTTTACAAGTGTCCTTATTGTGATAAGTGAGCATCCCCAAAGAACTGAAACCTTACATTAAAAAGCGTAATAGGGAACAGAACGTAGGAAACATGCCAACTCAGCCTCTCTTGGCATACATGGATGGACCGGATGGAATAGCCAGTACTGTTGGTGCACAGATGGAGAATAATGATGCCTCAATGACAATAAAAGGAACAAACACAATTTCTTACAAAACCTTGCAAGAAAAGTTTCTCATGCAAGCTGAGGGATGCATGCCCCTGGACTGCATGTTTTGTGATGAGACTTTTAAACATCCTGAAGAACTTGGTAAGCATGTTTTAACTCAGCATAGGCCCACTCTTTGTGAACCAGCTGTCCTGCGTGTTGAAGCACAGTATCTTAGTCATCTAGATAAATGTCAAGTAAGAACAAACTTGCCTTCACCGAACAACGAAAAAGACAGTGAAGAACTTAGTTGTGAAGTTTGTGGACAAACATTTGATGAAGCTTTTGATGTTGAGGCACACATGAGAAAGCACAAAGATTCTTTCACATACTGGTGTAATGTATGTGGAAGAAGATTTAAAGAGCCGTGGTTCCTCAAAAATCACATGAGAACACATACTGGAAAACCTGGTTCTAGAAACAAGCACCAACAAGGCTCTGAAAGCCCTGTAACAATAAACGAGGTGGTACAGGAGCACGTAACTGAAAATGTAACATCACCTTACAAAATTTGTATGGTTTGTGGTTTCCTATTTCTCAATAAAGAGACTTTAATTGAGCACAGTAAAGTGCACACCAAAGAATCAGTACCCAGTGGTGAAAGCCGCCAAGTGACTGGTGAACCTAATGCAGAAGAAACATCTCGAAGAGAGGAATTTTTGCGATTCTTGAACTTGAGACCAAACTTGGGTCCAGAAAATGACAAATCACAAAAACCTGTAAAATGGATAGCTGAACTAGATCCTTTCAATACATATCAAGCATGGCAGCTGGCTACCAAAGGTAAAATTGCAGTTGGCCATGGCCAAACTAAAGAACCAGGGCAAGAAGGAAGTACAGACAATGATGATTCATGTTCTGAAAAAGAAGAATTCAGTGAAGTTTGGAATGCAAATAAAGGTAGCCAGACTGAAACTACAGGGAAATCAAAAGTAAATAAAAACAGCAGTTATACAGGGAATGGTAACTTATCCCAAGACAAATTGAAACATCCCAGTAGTGAAGTGCCTTCTATGGAGATGGATTCTAAATTGTCGCAGAACAAAGAGAAGCCAACACACTGTTCAGAGTGTGGTAAAGCCTTCAGAACATACCACCAGCTAGTCCTTCATTCCAGAGTACATAAAAGGGACAGGCGGACTGATGGAGAGAGTTCAGCTGCTTCGAGAACGTGCTGTGCTGATATAATTGCAAGTCTGGATGAAAATGGAGCAGGAGAACGAATAGAAGGAGGCTCTGAAGATGGATCTGAAGATGGACTTCCAGAAACACTTAATTTAGGTGAGTCGCATTTTGAGCATATGAGTTTGAAATAGCTGTTACTGTATTGTTTAGGAACTCTTCAGAGCCAAAGAATGCATCTTGCCTTTCTCGGTTATCTTTTCAAACTTGGCCAGAGATCTAAAATGTTATGTTGGGGTAATGGGAAAAGAGAAAAATGGAGAAAGAAAGGTTCTGACACTGCCACTTTGAGATCATTGACGTTGTGTTGGGCCTTCTTGCAGTTATGATTTGAGTTACTGGACTCATTGAAATACTTGTAATAACAATCAGTCTAGGAAAAGTCACTGTTTACTTGCCCCTTCTCTCTCCTCCTCAATAGCAAGATGATGAGTTTTACTGGATACTTTTGAGGATTGCATATCCCTTTTACAGCACATGTTTTTCAAACAGCATTTCTGAAGAAGTAATTGCAGTTTCACTTTTTTCCCCCTGCATCTTGTAAGAAAGGGCAGAAAGTGTTCAGGGCTTGATACCAGCAGTTGTTAAGATCCTGAGTTAGTAAAGGATAATTCCAAACTTTTTCTATCAAACTGCAGGTTCTGTGTTTCTTTTGAATGATATGTGATTTGAAAGCCTAAATGTCAGAACCAACAATTTTAAATTAGTTGCATAAGGACATGCATGTAGGCTATTAATATGTGGACATGATGTGTGTAAGAGGTTTATATTTAACTCTTCTTCCTTGAAGGGTTAGTTCTCTTTGACAGAGTAGATGGGCTCAATCTGTATGTTACCCAGGATTAATTCTGCATCTCACAGTGTCTTGGGAAAACAAGTGATACTGAGTGATTCCTTAACTGAAAAAGGTTGCATGTCTGGGGACAAAAAGGAATAGCAAAAAGTCTCCTAACTAATTTACCACTCTTGTGTGTGACATGCTTTGAGTCTGCATTTAAAGAACAGACACTTGCATAATCTCAAGAAAAGACACAATGTACAGAATGTCCTGGCACACACAACTGACTTTTCCATTTCTGGTAATGTGCAGCCCTTTATTTTGCCTCCAGTAACAAAGGAATGGAATTATTACCTAATGTTAACTTGCTTGTTTTGTTTCTCAGTGTCTTATCCTAAGCTACAACAGCTTTTGTTGTGACATGCTGAGTCACGCTTATTGAGGCATTATCTGTTTGTTTAAAACAGCTATGGCTTGTCTTAGCTATAGTTTAGCCATGCTTAGCAGTTCCAATATAGAAGCTTTCCAATGCGTAGGAACTTCAGAGAACTTTTTTAAGCTATCTGTTATGTATCTAATGTCTTAGTCAAGCGGAACGTCTCCTTCCTTCTCTTTCCACTGTAGCTTACTGGTCAGCCTTGACTGGGGTATTTTACTGAAGTTGTCTTGTTTTTTCAATTCAACCTGCCGGAGAAATCATGTTGATTTTTAGTGGTGTGTTGTGTGTAAGCCTTCACCCCTTGTTAGGCATTATGCTGTACTTGCCGCCCTCCAGTGGTAACTACTGCTGCTTACACTTGAGTGGAACCAGTTTTTAATCTATGAATTTGTTCCTTGAGTACGTTTCGCACAACTAGCAGCCCCTGTCGATTTCCTACTCTCCTGTTTATCAAAGCTTAAGCATTACTGTGTCTAGTGAAAGATTACTCATTAAATCTAAGGATGTTGCTATACAAGCATGACACTCCATTGATTAGCACAGAAACAATAATATTATTACAATCAGTAAGAAAATCTTTCTCCTCACCTTCCTTCCCCAAAACACCTTCCTGTGTTTTGCTCTGGGGCACAGAGCAGGTTTACAGTCTGAATCATCATGCTCACACTTACTCATTCAAGCACTCCCTTTAATAAACAAATACAGTTTGTAACTTGTGAATTTTTAAGATGGGCTGTTCTCCATCAAGTTTCTGTAGGTCAGTAAAGATAATTTTTTTTTCTTCTTTGAGGCCTAGTTTTGCACCTTGTTTGTTCTTTAGGGCTTCTTCGTTACAGTCACTAACCGCAGTGTTACTTGACACAGAAACCTTTTTAACTCTTTTGCTCTTTGATTACTAGGTGTGCAGCAGTACAGAACAAAAGATACTCGTAGGCTGTAGGAGTTGACAACAGTTCATCATTCTGTGTTTTTTCCTTAAAAAAGACAGCTAAGATAGTTATTTATAGTTTAAAATGAGACTCCAAATTTGCACTTGCTCTTCATAATATAGCTATATTTTCTCCCAAAGATAAAAATGAAGATGGTTTGGAAAGAGCAAAAGTTAAAACCCTTGGAGCCTCCAGAGAATGCAGCTATTGTGGAAAGTATTTTCGCTCAAATTATTACCTCAATATTCATCTCAGAACTCATACAGGTAAACGGGCTTCACCTTTGTGGGAGGGGAAGGAAGTCTGCTGAATCCATTTGGATGAAATGTTTGGTTTTGCTTAAGAAAAACAGAAGTTGCCTTCAACATTATTGATACGAAGAACAGTTTTCTCTAATGCTAAAAAAAATTTAAGTAATTCCAATTCAAATTTCTTAGAAGGAATTACATAAGTGTAAATCTTTTTTAATAGGACTAATTACATTAAGTACTGTTAAGAGCACAGTATTTTTTAAAACTTTAATTCTTTCTGCTTTTAGCAGTCTAGCAAAAAGGTTTGGTGTGTTTTGTTTTGTTTTTTTATTTAAACTTAAAAAGAAGCCTATTTCCCAAGTGCTAAGTTGATCGTCTGCCAGTTGCTGCTACCTGGTAAAAAGCTGTGTCTATTTTTTAGTTCAGCTTTTTGTTTTCCATAGCCAGGCAAAGTGTTTCTACTTCTGTTAATGTATATCCCTGTTGCTTTTGAAACAGCTCTATTTATAGATGAACTGTAACATTTGTGTTGTTGAATAGCATACTTGTGGCATGATCAAGGGCTACAAATTGTTGGAGTTGACCCACAGTTATACTTGCTTATCTCTGCCAAACATATTGTCAGCTACCATCTCTGTACATAGCCAACGTGTGGAAAATATCTTCATGGTAGCCAGAAGATGTCACTCTAGTTAGTAAAAGCAGTAAGATGTAGTTGTCTAAATGATTTAGATGAGTTTGGGAATTGCAGGTATGTGGAAGGGGAAAGAAAAATCTATTTTACTGTTTTGTGGTCTACGTTATTCCCTTGTCTTTAATTGTATTCAAGATTTCAAATCAAATTGTATCAAACTTACTGATAAAACTGTGTTTCAGGTGAAAAACCGTACAAATGTGAATTCTGTGAGTACGCAGCAGCACAGAAAACTTCACTGAGGTATCATTTAGAGAGGCATCACAAGGACAAGCAAGCTGATAGTGCAGCAGACGTGAAAAGTGACAGCAAAGTTTCATTACAGAGTCAGGAGACTGAGCGCTTGCTGGCTGCTGATGGTGCTCAAGAAACCAAAAATTTGAAGAGGCTTTCTGATTGTGCCAAAGATGCTGAGGGCTACCCACCTACCAAGCAGCAAAAGGAACTTCTGTCTTTGAACAATGCAACAGGTAGCACAGTTCTTTTAAAAATGAAAAATAATTCTAGGGAATCGAATAAAGGTTCTGTTTGTAACAATTCAAATCAAATACATGAGAACATGTCCACTCCTTACCTGGAAAAACTAAAGGCTGAGAAGGAAACGAAGGAAGCTCAGCCCAGTGTTCCTCATAAAAGAGAGAGAAAAGCTTCTGTGGCATCAGAGGGAGATGACGTCCAGTATGTTTGTGCTTTAAAGGATGGAAAAAATGTGAATGATGTGCGAGAGTGCACTGAAAACTACAAACACAAACCTATGGTGGACTCTCAAGGAAAGCCCTTGGACTTATCTATTAGGACTTCACAAGAATGTTTAGTGGTTTCAACTAGAGACCCACTAGCACCCAGCACCTGTCCATTTTGTCCTTACAGAACACTTTATCCAGAAGTCCTAATGATGCACCAGAGGCTGATGCACAAATACAATCCTGACACCGTTAACAAAAATGGCTGTAGAAACAAGGCTGTAGCTAAAGCCAGACGCACTGGATGCCCTCCAGCTCTGCTTGGTAAAGATGTGCCTCCCCTGTCTTTTAATTCTAATAAATGTAAGGCTTCCCCACCTACACAGCAAAAACCGTTGCAAACAGGGAAAGCTAAACAATGTCACCCTCCACAGAACAAAGTCCCTCTCTTGTCAATGACTGACTCAAGCAGCACAGCCCCAAGTAACCTCAAGTTTCACAAACAGCAAAGTAATGTTGGAGCTCAGGCAAATAACAATAGACAACCTCAGCAAGAAATGCACTCCAGTTCCAGTATCTCTCCAGTATTGGACAGAGTAAAAAGATTTGAATCTAAAGTAAAAGCTCCAAGTGTCCCAGTGTCTCAATCTGGTCTGGTAAGCAGCAGTATGAATGGGGCTCTCGACTCTCATGTAAATGAACCTGCCTGGTCTTGTCATCGAGGAAGAGACTATCTTTGTAGTAAATCTGTGAGCAATGTAAATCTAGACTATGGTGAAACATCTTCTAAACGAATGAAACCTAATCTGTTAGCTACTGAACATATTGACTCTCCAATGGCTAATTACAGAAGATACGAAATGAGCAGATTTCGTGTTGCAAACAGATATGCAAATCTGCTACCTCAGGAATGTTCTCGCACCAAACCTGCATCCTCTGTTTTGCCAACCAAACAAGGGCTTCTGAATTCGGATGATGATCCTCCTAATGTATTGACTGTTCTCAAACCCTATGAGCCATATAGCTCTGGATCACTTTACAGTTCTTGTGGATCTAGCAATGGCCAAGTAACCAGCTCTACAGTAGAAGGTACTGTATCTCCTTCCTAATTAACTGTCTTGTACCATTACAGAGGAAGGTGAATGAAAGATAAATAAGTGCATACCCACCTTGAAGTATAAAGCTGTACTTAGCATTTCACCAATTCCAGCCAATGCTTAGATTTTAAATTTAAAATCCAGGTTCAGCAAACTTCTGGCTTGGGGAATTAGGCATGGAAGGTTTGAATTTTAAAAAGGGATTTAAAGTTCCTGAAGTTCCCTCCTCCCCCTGCCATGGGTCTCTGATAGCAAACATGTATTGTTAGCTCATCAGAGCACTCCAGACATGCTAACAAATCCAGGATATAGAATGAGCCTTTCTGCTTAATACGCAAGAAGTCTTGGGCCATCTGGAATATTAATAAAACCTCTTATGAAAAAAAAAAGCCAACAAAACAAAAAACCACACCCACCCCCACCCCCCCCAAAAAAAAAAAAAAACAGAAAAAAGCTGTCATGGAAAATTGTTCCCTTTAGTTACAGGAAACGATGTATTAGAAATTAAGAGACTGATTTAAATCTTATACCTCTGTTCATCAATGGGTTTTTATAATACTTAGTTTTTAATAGGAACAGAACACTTTGTTAAATCAAGACAACATATTTCTGCTATTCTAATTACGGTGTCTCATTGCACTAAGCAGTAATGCTTTGTGGAAAATTCTGGGCCTAGCAGAGAGAAATGTTTTGCAATGTATTTGGAAAACTTTGATACTTTTATGGAATACATGCTTTTTGTGTTTCGTACTTAGCATTTTCAGAACTTAGCAGGAGGCCAAGATTAGAAGGTGCTAGCTGATATTTAAGCAGTTGTCTTGACTGTTTGTCAAAGATGATAATTATGGCTTTGAGCTGAGGTCAATATGGATTTAGCTATAAATATAGGACTTTGAATTCTGAAATTAAGATCCTATTGTAAAAATGAAGTGTGTGTGTATGCTCTGTAGTCTTAAAGTCTCTGCTAAGTTCTTAAACTCTGTGAATACTCCCATTCTCTTCTGAAGTACTCTGGGTTCATAACAAGCAGGGGGTGTGTTACCTTGGGTCAGAGTGAACTGCAAAATACTACGTCTGCATTTAGTTATGTGGCAAAAAAAGTATTGACGCTGTCCTGGCACTTGTTTGCTTGTTTTAAGGTTGTGGGCTTCGTAAATATTCAGGCTTGCTAGTGGGTTATAGAAGGGTGAAGGAAAGTGTTACAGTTTGGTTTCCAGTCTGGGTAGGGAGTGGACAAATGAAAAGCCATCATCACAGATGACTCACTGAAGTGGCTGAGAAATGGAATTAATTCCTGGTTTCATCAAGAGCATTGTCTGTGTACCATGAACTGCACCATGAGTTGCTATGAGGAATGTAAAGTGGGCACTAGGTTATGCATAGGTAATGCTGAGGGACGGGCAGAAGGACAAACGTTGTTGCTGTCCTCTTTATTCCTAGTGATCGGAGAGAATTAAATGTATATATGTATACAGGTCATCTTCTGAGCACAGCAGTCATTCAGGCAGTTGTGGAACGTACAGTGCTTTGCAAGACTTTTTTTTCCCTTAAATTAGTGGTTGATAGCAGCTAAGAACTTAGATTTGGTGGAGGACTAAACTCTGTTGATTTGCACCAAATGAGGACTTGCGCTTCATGACACTGGCATCTGTTGAGCAGATGGAACATTCAGGGGTTTGAGAGAATGCTCTTGATGTATAAAACCCTATTAATTTTCATAAAAACAGGCAGGTGAAAGTTACAGCATCTTATAGCTTCAGCCAGCTAGATGAATAGTCTGTACCCCGAGGACTAGATGGTGGGCAGTGACTTGCTCCTTCCCAGTGTTAGTTTACATTGGGGATAGGGAGGAAACTCTCTTATCTTGCCAGTAGCCTTAGTGGGGCTAGCCTGTTGAAGGAGCTGTTGATGCAATACTAGTCTTAAACAATGACTTCACTGGAATCCACCTTGTTCTTCTTTTGAAAGCTCCACCTGTGACAGAAAAATCTGTGGTAGGCTTTTCTTCCTCCTCTTTGGTACAAGCCTGGAGACAGTAGTCTGTAGTCAAGAACTTTCTACTGTTTCTTGTTATTTAGAGCTCTCAAAACTCTGGCTGCAACTACTTTGACAGTATTGTTGTCATGGAAATAAAGATTTCATTGTTCGGTTCACAGTGCTGTCTCAGGGCAAGAAAAGCAACTTTTTATGGCTGTTACCTACATTGGAAAGACTTGTGAAACAAGACCCCCTCTGTGGGTTTTCTTAGCAACTTCAATAAAAGCCCTGTGCAATAAAACGTAGGTTTTTAAGGCTAATTTCCTACTTTTTCAGCCATTCTGCCTAGAAAGACCCAACCCAAACCTTGATAATTGTTTGGGAGGGTGTAGGGTAGCAGACAAACAAACTTTTCAGTATTAGAGTTTTAATGTGGTGGAGACAGTGAAGATGAAAGTTTCTGCAAATTCTTGTTTTGTTAAAAAGCTGTCGTACAACTGTTTGTCTAAGAGTTGCAACTCCTTAGAGATGTATTTTGTAAGATATCATATGCAAAGTACTGCAGGTCTAGACCTGCAGGTTTCTGTAGTCTCTTTATTGAACTCTGGTGATATTATAAAACATGATGTCAAAACCTTTTTTAAGGGTCTGTGTGCCTTGTGGCAACATTATTTAGGTCCTATGAACATGTTATGTCGCATGTTAAATGCTGGATCAAATTGTCATGAGAATATGTTCCACTTGGCAAACTTGATTAAAGCATGATGCCTTCCGTTATTGCTTGTAAGCTCTGCCATTCTGTGTTGCCCTGAAGAGACAGAAACATTCTGAAACCACTCAGTTTGTGTTATTTTCAAATTAGTTGCCTTTGCAATGGCAACACGCTATCAAGGATAACCTGTTGGCTGATTGATCTGGCAGAGGCTGCAAATTAAAGACAATTGCTCATGACACACTCCAATGGCTTTGTAGATTCTGTTGAAATATTAATTTAGCTTTGCCATTTTAATTTAATTAAAGCTTGCTAGGTTTTTTCAATGCTGCATTTAAAGCTTTCATGGAATATGGATGGCAGTTGGGCTTTTTGTATCCTGTGGGAGTAATGATTCTTGACTTTTTTTTTCCTTAATTTTATGAAGTGTTTTTGACTGCTTGCTTAAGCTAATAAGACTTAATATGGAACAGGCATTGATTTCACATATAAAAATCTGAATTAATGGTCACAGATAAACATGAAATTACCCATGTACTAGATTGAAAATTGCTTAACAAAGGTCTTCAAGTAAATGTGTATTAACACTTTTAAAGTGTCACAATTGCCATATGTAATTTATGATGGCAATACTGCAGTACACCTGTTTTTCCTCTCATATTCAAAATTTCAATTTTCAAACAAATACAGAAATTGGATACGTAGACATCATGCTACAGAATGTACTGCAGCTGTTAAACCTTGTTAAAGTGAAGCCCGCTCTATGATGAGCTAAGCAAAGAAATTCTTGCAAATCAAATGAGCAAACTCTGGAGAGATGGACATGTGTGTATACAGCTCAGGACAAAGTTGTTAAATTAATACGTTTCATTCTCCTTATATTTGTTCTGGATACTGAATTTCATATAATCTTTTAATAGAACTAGGAGTATGTATTGTCTTGGGCCCTGCTTGTGAGATGATTTGTGGGTAGCATCTGTGGTATTCTGGATGCTGACATAGACTGCTCACAACTGAATGTCTGACCAATTAGATTATCAGGAAATAATTCTAACTCCTCTAAATTAATTTTTGTCAGGAAAGAGATCAGTGTCATACCAACACTTACCTAGCAGTGTGCTACAAAAGCGAAGTTATGAAAGTTTCATTGGCAATGCACACTTTCGACCAAGCGACAAGAAGACTTAATCGTTTACTTCAAGAAACGGTAAACAAACCTTTTGAACTAATTGTTGCTTAAATGTTGCATTATGTACTCATAGCATCAGAAGTTGGTGCATAGTGTGATAAGAGGTCATGAAAGTCTGAACCAGAACAGCTGAAAATACAAATTCCCCCCCTCTTATGAAGTCAACCAAATACTGGTGTAGCAGCATTGGTTATTTTGAATAGTGGTAATGGCTTGCATAAAAACTGCATAGGTGCCCCTTTTCTAGAAGAAATGGAAGGGCTAGCAATAGATAGATGTATTAATTAGTTACAATTCCATTGGGAAGTGTTCGTACAAAAGGGCTTTCCCCTTAAATCAGTACTTGGGGGGGGGGAACATCATGTGGAGAACTAGAAATGAGAGGAAGTGCCTGTTATCACAGTTCATGAGTTCTATGGGAGGTTATGTTGGTTAGTCCTTCCTGAAAATGTAGACATTACTCATTTTACAACTTCTGAAGATTGTGAGGATTGCCTCAAGCAACAAGGCTCTTTTTGGTGGATTATTTTATAGAGAAGTAAGGGTTTCCTGATAGCTCCTTGACAGTTTTATCTTTGTGAACTGGAGAGGTTATTCCAAATAGTTTTTCCTTTGTTTAACTGAGAAGTGGGTGTAGCCTCTTAGGGAAACAGGTCAAGTGAAAAGAATTAGCCTGGTGTTCTGAATTCCCGTGCTTCATCTCTTCAGTTCTGTAGCTGTATCTCTGAACTGAACAATCCCATTATGTTTGCAACATTCTTAGCTGCTAAGGAGATAAGTACTCTATATGACTATAAATAAATATATATCTGTATGCTTTTTTCAAACCCAGAGCTACAGATAATTTTCCTCATTCAAATTTAAGGAGATATGTCTTGAATGCTATAGCACCTGGACCAGCATGCACTATTTTATGGAAAGATTTTGCATATCTGGGGAGCAGAGTTATCTGACATCTAGTTGACAGCTTTTAAAATACTTTATTTCTTGATACTCTCCTAATCCTACTGCTTTTATTGTCCCTCTACTAAGTGTATTTTTGTCTAGTTCTGCTTTTTTAAGCTAACTCAATTTCCTGCCTGTATTTTTACTTGGGGTTTGAGTATCTTCAAAAGTAGACTTGATTGCAAGCTTTTATTTGGCAAATAGAAGACAGAGACCTTATAAGGCAACATCAATTTCTACATACACTTATTCAAGGGTGCGGAAGAAATTACCTTTATCTTTTAAAGATACTCCTCACAACAAAAAATGTATTATACTATTTTATAGTTGTATACCACAAACCTACTTTTTCTTTTTTCCTTTTTTCCTCTAGGTCTAAGGACACAAGTGCATGTTCTATGGAGTTATACTTGCAGTTCATCCCTTGAGTAAAAATGAATGGTGAAAGCTACTGAACTAAGCTGTGATTGTACTGTATATAAAAACACTACAGTTTTATAATACTGGTTCTGTTAACATTTTGTACCAAATAGCCATAAAGAGTAGTCTAAACAATTGGGTTATGAAGGTGTGTGGAGAATGTATATCTTGACATTGACTCTTGAGTATTTTTCATTAGAATTAATTGACCAAATATTAGGTAGGAATTATATTTTTACATACTTGAGTGCTGCTGAAGAGTTTTTCTTTGAAAGAATATATAATCCTTGCACCTCAGGTAAACTGTAAATACTGAAGTTGAAATCCTGTTGGCTTAATGCTCCTTTTTCATAAAGGTGAAAGTTTCTCATCTGTTTTTTTTTCTGTTGAACTATGTTATTTTTTAAAACCAACTTCCAAATACACTGTCTGAAACTGTCCAGTTTATAAATGGTGGGAACATCAAAGCAACGGTGCTGACATTATGCTGATCTGCCTCGTGTATGTTAGGACCATAATGTGTTGGAGGGATCTGTTTCCCTGGGGTTGTTTCCAGCATATTTTGAAATGCAAGGATGAGGCAATACTTGACATTTGGATTTCAGTGTGGCGTTCCTGAAATACGGTTGGATTCTTCCCTTGGCATTGGTTGCTGTTCTTCAGAGAAGCCTCTTAAACAAACATCTCTACCAACATACAAACTTTTACAGCAGAAAATACCTAGGGCTTGCATGAGAAACGATACTAATCTAAATGTTTCAAACGTTTAGTTTTGTACTAAACGCAATACAGTTACATTTAGAGGAAAACTACTTTGCACCTTTGTCCAAACTGTAAAGTCACAAACAGACGGACTTGCAATATGAATACGGGATCTACAGACTTCAAAAGGGATGTGACTATGGTGTAACCTGCTTGACTGTGCTTGGAAGCTTCTTGATGTCGAGTTTTAGCGTCTGCTGGGTGTTTAAAATAAGTGAGAAATAATCTGTAAATGGGAGAATATCTCCTTTTATTTTATTGCGAAGACAACAAGAGTTTTTTCTAATGCACATGCAGTTTAATTTTTGTAAAGGGAAGATGGCCAGTTACCAGCCAGTAAAGCAGAATTGTTGCATATTTTGACTTGCGTTCCTAGTTGCTTCTCATAAAGACTGTAGTTAAGAGTTAATTTCTTCTGTACCTGTCTCTGACTTCCATACATTTTATTAAAACAAAAAAAAGAAAAATTTTGCACTGTTCATTTTGCTCTCTTCCCTCATACAACAAATGTAAAATAGCAAAACCTAGAAACCTTGTTTTTTCATTATGCAACTTGAGATGTTCCAGTTGTATGTCTTAGTTCCTGTATATGGGACCTATTTTTAATGTCTCTGTAAACTGGCGATGTAATGAAGTGCTGTGTATCAGGAAATTGTACACTATTTACCTTTTTTCCTGTTCATAAGCTGAGCCATATGTACATAATCTAGACTTTTGTTTTCCTAGTTTTGCACTTTTATAGCCTATTTTTTGAAGATAAATTCACTTGGAAAATGGTTAATCTATTTTTTTGCGTGATCTTTCAATGAGTCTTATAGAATGCATGCTGTAACTACCATCTGTGTACCGTACGGGGTTCTGTGATTAAAATGTACGGGGCTGGTTTTTAAGACGTTTCAGCAAACAGACCTAAGGCTTGTTTGTTTTTAATCTCCCTTCATGCTGGTACAGTTTCCCTCAAGGCTTTTTTTGGTAGGTATCTTGGGGTTGGAATGGAAAAATGGACATGAAGACTCTTATTTCATGGCAGCACAGCCCTGTGCTTCAGAATACACTTTGCCCATCAGTATTAACTATTTGGGATACTACTGGTTTTATATGTTTCTTTGGAAATAACAGTGCGTATATGGAGGTACAAATTGTTGATTTTTTCCCCTTTTGTTTATGTATTTATTTCATTCCATTTTGTTTTATTTTAATTGTTGAAACCGGAAGTCGTCAAGCAGTAGGCACACATTACTCATTTAATTTATGATGTATTTCACTTTAGTTGAGTATATTATTACATGTGGATGTAAATATAGACTTGGTGTTTTGCAAAACTGGTTTCTGTGTCTTGCTTTTAAAGCTTAAAATCAGTTGCCTGGAATTTCATGTTCACTTGACCTTTTGTCATACTCGCACTGCTGGGGGAGGGCGAGATGGAGAACCTGCCACTAACCAAAATCAAATTCATGCCCTGTGAAGTTGCTTGTATGAAAATACTGAGTCAATTCCCAGAAAATCCATCTGTGAGGCTTAAGAGGAAAACTCTTAAAATCATGAAGAAACCTTTTGTTTCTTCTCTTTCAGTTCTTTTCCTTCAAGAAAGGAAACTGAGTTATTGTGTGCATTTTTTGTGGTAATAAAATTGAGTGGAGTATTTTTTTTTTCAAGGGGGTTAGGCTTCAAAATTTTTATGGGCTTAAACTGTTTTTGAAACCAAATATGTTCTGAAAAATTTCTAGGTCTGATGTGTTCTTGGAACTCAGCTGAGGTGTCAGACTTCACAAACCTGACCATATCTCAAAACTAGATTATGAGCTTGCAATACAGCTAGAAAAGACTTGTCAAAAGCAACTCATCCTTGAAGGAAAGCGAGCTTGTCAGGTGAGATCCCAGATATAAATTGACTGTGTTTAAGGGCACTTACATGAGTGACCACAGCCTCAGTGACATCCCAGGTTAAGCCTTTGATTCCTGTGCTAGGCTGGCACTTGTGGCCACAATAAGGTTTGTAGAAGTAGGTTAGACTAGGTTGTTAAGTAAAAGGAGCTCTGTTGGGCATGATAAAGGCTTAAAGTGTATGAACTTAAGAACAAAACGACGTGGTGTGTGGATCTGTCAGTTGCTCTGGAAATGGCGAGTTCTTACAGAGCCTGTGGTGCACAAATGGGGGGTCTTGGAGTCTTGCTGCTGCAGGCGTTCAGTTTGTGCAGTGCTGAACGACAACGTGGTTAGGATACAAGAAGTAACTGAGCTTTGCAAGTCACCTTTACTGCTAACCATGGCTTTCCTTTGGTGCCTCTTAGGAGTGCTAAGGCTCCTTCTTTTTGCCTTTAGTAGTTTCAGATAAGCTAGACCGATTTAGAGATAACAGATGTGTATTCCTGTGAGTTTAGGTTTCAGATGCCTATGCTGCCATACCAATTGGTGAGTTATGCAAGCTGCAGAATTACAAGTCAAAGAGCAAACCTCACTGACTGAGAGGGAGGCGTTAAAGATACGGAACCAGTACGAGGGTGTTCAGCTGAGGGTTGAAAAGCCTTTTTGGCTTAAAGTCTCTTGCATCTTCAAACAGTGTGGGATTTTGGAGGTGTGTTTTTCAGTGCTATCGTGTCTGTTTTGTCATATAATTGGTTCCTCCCTTGTGAGCTACGTTAATACTGCTAAAGCTCTGCCCCCATGCCCCCCTTCAGATAAATGTTATTCCCAGCCTTAATGATAAGGTTGAGACTCTTTGTGGGAGGGCCAAAACCAAAAAGAAATGGAGCCAGTGAAGAAAGCCAAGGTGTCTTCACTGTTGGTGTTGACAAAGCTGCTCAAGTTGAGGAGTTGTGAGATGAGCTTCTGACTCCATGGTCTTCTCCGGTTTCTACCCGCCTCATGCCAATGAAGCCCTGTGGTAACTGGTTTGCATAAGAACCTGCAGAATGCCAGGTTCTGTTTGTTGCCTTCAAGCAGAGCATCAGAGGACTTCAAGTGCTGTCTAAAACACTGAAGGCATAATTAAAATACAGTGTTTCTCTACAGTGAGTGTAACTGTTCAGACTGGCATGATAAACACGTGTTTGAGGGATCTTCTGTGCTCTTAACGAATTGCTAGTTTAGATACATGGATTACTGTATGTCTTATGAAATTATGAAGAAGCAACACTCATTTTCTCTTATGAGGAAGATCTAAGATTAAATCACAAAACAGTTTCTTCTTCTCCTTTGTGAAAGAGGAAAATATGCAAGTGGGCTCGCTACTGAGCAGATTTCTCTGTTCATTTGCACACACTTGAGAAAAGTGCATTTAATTAGGATTAGCAAGTCTCTAAATTGCAGATGGTTCTCGGGGGAAAAAATAGTTATGAGTGCATTCATGACATTAAAATCAGTACATTTAATTCAATTTCATCTTAATATTAATTTGTAACATCTACAGTAGGAGTTTCTATAGAAGATATTCATATGATTTAGGATTACTGGGGAAAATGAGATCTAGCATTTCCAAACATGCTACAGCTTGATTACCATGTGTAATTATGTGGATTGAGTAACTACATGCTAATTACAAGAGTGCTCATTTTGACATGTATTGTTATCTGCAACAAGGGGCGGTCGTATGATGTGCAGTTTTATTTAGTTTGGAATTCCTTATGATGGGTACCCAGTATTGGGTCACATGTGAAATGTTGCTAAAATCGGTAGCTATCAGTAGCTGTTGAGCATAGCTCCTGAGAGAAGGCTGCTGGGTTGAGTATGGTATTGCAAAACAAGAAACGCTCTGGTTTGACACTTTTGAGACCGACATGTTGGTCTCTGTTCTGAGCACGGATGTGTTAGTACACCATCTCTTTCTTTAAAAAGCTAAATGCAAAGGTGTGGTATCTTCCCTAATAATCCATTCTTCATTTTATTATTGGCTCTAGTTGAACTGACCCTGATCTGCTTAGGGCAGGTACAGCAGCTTTATATTCCTTCTGTCTATTCGGTAGGAATGCAAAGCAATACTTAGCTCTGGAGCTAGCTCGATCTTTCTGCAGGATAATGAATCTTGGAAATAGGAACTCTGGGTTATGGTAGTACCGCTCCCTCTTTAGAAGTGTTTTCCCTTTGTTTCCACTGAGGTTGTCCCTAGCTCCCTACACACCGAATACTATGGCTGCTGGCCTCTGGGCTGAGCTGGATGCTGCAGCCTCCAGGAGTTCGCCCCTTCTGTTGTTTTAACGCTTCACAAACGTCTCTCGGCTGCTGCGAGACGGGGGAAGGTTGGTACCTCCAGTCTGCGCGTGGAGCGCTCCCAGAAAGTCACCGCTGCTCCACCTCCTTGCCCCTATTCCTGGCGGCAGCTCCAGGGCGGACCCAAGGGTGGCTCTCAGCAGCGCTCTGGCGGCAGGGGCCGATCAAGAGGCAATC